TTGGTGCCTTAGCACTTGGGCCCTAGCTCGAGCTAGTCCATAAACTCCTTTGTTGTTTGCAGCCTCGGTGACTCTGCCTCTCTGTTCCTGGGGCCGAGGGCTAGCTGGCAGTAACACCTTAGCATGCAATTGCCTCTGCTGAGCTTTACAAAAGCAAACTGGCATGGCTTCCTCTTATGGAACAACAATGGGGGCGGGGTTCACACTGCTGATTTTTCCTTAGCTTCTGAGCCCTTAACCACTGCACCACCAGCAGACCTTATTCATGTAAATTGTCCCTTTAAAATAACCAACTGGTCAATCGGCCTTTTCTGCATATTCTGCAGCTGTGAGGTTGTTCTTTGGTCTCATCACGTGTTGTCCTTTGTAAACTTACTATGGCATCGAATGACCGAGTAACCAAAGCCAGTAATCCCCAGAGTCACCATTATACTGGCTGTTGCTCTGTACAGTTTTCTGAGCTAGAAGTAACTACTCTGAATTTGGTTATCTTACAGTAATGATTGTTAAATCCTTTTCCTCTGAAAAGCTAAGGCCCAAGGCTTAGTCCTGACTAAATTGTGTATCTTCGATCCACCTGCCTGACCCCATTGGACATTTTCTCATTGCAATAAGTGTACTTTATACAGACAACCATGGACATATAGGGAGTGCCAAATAGGATACTTACGTTCAGGTAATGGAATGAGTGGTATAAACTTGCTGAACACACTCTTTGTAATTGAGGGACTGGATACAAAGCATGAATAATTGCCTTTGTCAGATGCCTCCACATTTGCGATGTAAAGATTGCCATTGGTCTGTGACACAAATCTTCGTTTATCCATTGTGATAAATACAGGGAATTCATTCAGAAGCCAGCGGTAGCTAAGATCATCTAGAAGAAAACATTGTCTATTAAATATTAAGCTCTTCTCCAATAGCACGGGTGTTATTTTCTGGTACTAAGTTATCAAGCAATCTAATCTAGGCTATTGGAGAGCAAATACTGAGAGTTGGACAAGGCACATTTAATGCCAATTTTCTAATAGTTCTCATATTTTGAGTACCTATATGCATTGTGCTCAACAATTATATCTATTCTTCTCTATCGCTTGGAGAAGGTCATCACACTTGGTAGAGGAGAGGGACAGAGAAAAGAAGGCCCTGGAGGAGATGGATTGACACGGTGGCTGCAACAATGGGCACAGACTGTGAGCATGGCGCCGGACCAGGCAGTGTTTCCTTCTGTTGTGCATAAGGTTGCTAAAACTGACTTAATGGCACCCAGTGACAGCAGCAACGGCATCCAGTTATTATTTTGTGACATTTATATTGCCACTCATTTCCCTTGAGGTATAAAAGAAGACTCAAAGAGACTAGCTTGCTTAGAATTTCATAGTTATGTCGACAAGATGTCAACAAGACAATGTGACTGTAATAATGGGCTCAGACATAAGGCCAATTGCAAAGATGGCTGGGGATTGTGCAGGGCTTTCTTCCGTTGTACACGGGGTTGCTATGAGTTGGAACTGACTCGTGGCACAGAACAGCAACCATAATGTAGCATTGCCCTGACTCTGTCCGTCAGTTTGTTGTGCTGTGGTAGCTTCCATATTCCTGTGGTGCTGAGAGCTATGCCACCAGTGTTTCAAACAACAGCAGGGTCATGTGCATGATAAGCAGGGTTCAGCAGAGCTTCCAGATTAATACAGGCTAGGAAGACTAGATAGGTAGTCCATTCAGAGGGATTAGCCACTGAAAACCTTATAAATAGCAGAGGATTCGTTTGGAAAGCACTCAGAATATGACTATGAAGGAGCTGCTTCTTCAAATAGAATTGAACTTAATGACATAAAGGGAGCAAAGCTAAAAGGACCTTCATTTAAAGATAGGACAGGACTCAAAATGAGAGGAGGCAGCTGCAAGCATCCATTAAGAACCAGAATGCAGAATACATGAAGTAGGAATCTAGGAAAATTGGAAGTCATAAAACAAAATAGAATACATAAATCTCACCAATCCTAAGCACTCCAACTCCAAAACTCTCTACCACCCAGTGGATGCTGACTCATATTAACCCTGTAAGGCAGGGCAGAACTGCCACTGTCAGTCGCTGAGCCGGCACCTCTTGACAGGAGCAACAAAGCACGGTCTTTGTCCCCTAGAGCAGGTGGTGTTGGGAACTGTTGGCCTTGCAGGTCACAGCCCCTCTCATAACTACTATGATGCCTCTTCTCAGCAGTGAGCTGAAATAAAGGGGTAGCAACCATTTTGAATTAAATAAACACACAATCTATTACTCTGGGAATGATAACTTCCAAGTGACATTCACCATCTATAAGAACATTTCAAGATCTATCCTAAAGTACAGTACTATCACTAATAGGATAATGTCCATACACTGACATTAATGTGACTATTATTTAAATACACGCACCAACCACTTACGCCTGAGATGAAGAAATCGAAGCTGTTTTCCAACTTCTGTAGTCTGAAATTGATTAAACATGTAATCAAGATACACTGATAATTACCAGTGATTGCAATGTGAAAGTTGAAGACAAAGAAGGAGGAGCAGTTGGAACAATATGACCTTGGCAATGGAAACAGCACACGAGTTCATATTGATAGAACCTGCCAATAACGTGAATTGTTCATTACAAGAAAGTTGTTTTTCTGCAATATGGAATTTAACAAGATGAACAGCTTATTGATTACAAATTCCTTTACCTCCAATAACATATGTGCTAGCTATATATATCCTTTCCAGTTGGAATATACAGGAATCAAATAGACTATATTTGCAAAAGAGGTGATGGAAAGGCTCAATATCATCAGTAAGAAGGTCAGGGGCCAACTACAGAACAAATCATCAATTGCTAACATGCAAGTTGAAGTTGAAGTTGAAGAAAATTACAAGTCCACAAGAAACAAAGTATGACCCTGAGTATATTCCACCTGAAAATATAGACCATCTAAAGAATAGCTTTGGCACATTGAACATTAATGAGTCAGAACCAGGTGAGTTGTGGAATGGTATCAAGTATATCGTAAGTGAAAAAACCACAAGTTATTAAGACAGGTAATCAAGGGGGGCGGGGGAAGATGTCAGAAGAGACTCTGGAACTTTCTCTGGAACTTAGTGAGGTTAAAGTGGAATGAAGTAATGAAGAAAGAGATGAAGGATTGTGAGAGAAGCTTGCAAAGGCAAATGAAAGTATTATGATGGCATGTATAAAGATCTGGAAGTCAAAAACCAAAATGGAAGAACATGCTTGGCATGTCTCAAACAGAAATAACTAAAGGAACCTCTAGATGAAATATTGAAGGATTATATGGGCAAAATATATGCAGGAAGCATAAAAAAATGGAAGAAATACACAGATATGATACTAATAGAATTGGTCATCATTCAACCATTTCAGGAGGTGAAGTATTTATCCAGAACTGATAGAATTGAAGGAAGAAGCCTAAGCTGCTCTAATGGAAGTGATGAAAGACAAAGCTTTAGGAATTGATGGAATGCCAATTCGCATGTTTCAACTGAAGGATGTAGTGCTGGACGTGTTGAACAGTCTGTGTTTAGATATTTGGAAGACACCTCACCCATCAACTGGAAGAGATTCATATTCATGTTCATCACAAAGGAATGTATGTAAACAGAATGGGGAAATTATCAAATGATATCATTAATGTCATAAGAAAATACCATTTTGCTGAAGATAACTTTAAAAATTGGTTATAACAGAACATGAAGAAGGAACGGTCAGAAGTTCAAGCTAGATTTAGAAGAAAAAGGTGTAGAAAGAGGGATATCATTGTTCATGTAAGTTGGATCTTGGCTGAAAGAAGAGAATACCAGAAAGTTGTTTACCTATGCTTTATTGACTTTTAATAGCATTCAGCTGTGTATCATAACAAATTATGGATCACATTGTGAAGAATGGAAATATCCAAACATTTGTTTGTTCACATGGGAAACTTAACATAGATCAAGAATCCGACAATGGAATAGAACAGGGGAATACTGCATTGTTTCAAATCAGGAAGTTGTGTATCAGGGTTGCCATGGGCTGCCAGAACAAACAAACCTATGTTAGAAGAAGTACAGCCAGAAAGCTCCTTTCAAGGAAAGACCACAAGACTTCATCTCACATACTTTGGATACATTTTTAAAAGGGACAAGTCCCCAGAGAAGGATACTATGCACGGTAAAGCAAAATGCCAGTGAAAAAGAAGGCAAACGTCACCCTGGTCAACTGCCTGTCACAAGAGGCTCAAAGGCCGGAAGGAGTGTGAGGACAGCACGGTGCTAGCAGGGGTCTCTGCTGTACATATGGCTATGTCTTGAGACCACTCAACACCACCAAAAATAACACGGACAAATATTGAAGCCCACAGGAAGCATTAAAAGAAGATGGGAGGAATATACAGTTTCTGGACTGAAAAAGAAAAGTCCTTTGTTCAACCATTTCAAAAGGTCATACACAGTCAAAGTTGGATGGCACTGATGAAAGAAGTCCAAACTGTATGTAAGACACTGGGAACAAACAGAGGTTCAGAAATTGTGAAAACGTCAATGGAGATCTACCAACAAACAGATATTATTGCCAAGAAAATTGGAAGACAGCTACCTGATCAATGGATCAGAAGAGATCCGTATTGGTGCCCATTCCAAAGAAAGATGATGCAACAGAGTGAGAAAATCATTGGACAATAGCATTAATATCAGACATAAGTAAAATTTTGCTGAAGATAATTCAAAAGCAGTTGCAAGAGTGCATTGATAGGGAACTTCCAGAAATTCAAGTGAGACTCAAAGAAGATGTAGACTGAGGGATAATATTGCTGATGTCAGTTGGATTTTGGCTGAAAGAAGTGAATACAAAAACGATGTTCATCTGTTTTATTGAATATGCAAAGACATTCAACTGTGTGTATCACAAAAAATTATAGATAACATTTTGAAGATTGGGAATTATAGTATACTTAACTATGCTCATGCAGAACCTGTACATGAGACTAAGAAAACAGGGGTGATTTAAAAATCAAGTTGTGTGTGTCAGGGTTAAACTCTCCCCAACTTTCATTCAATCTGTAGGATGAGTAAATAATGGGAGAAACACTATATGAAGAATAATACAGAATCCGCATTAGAGGCAGATGCATTGATGCCTTGTGATATGCATGTAACATAGCCTTGCTTGTTGAAGGCGAAAATGTACAACAATACTGATGAAGAAGCCCTGGCAGGGTGGTGGTTACTCATTGAGCTGCGTCCTGCATGATCACTAGTGGAAAATCACCCGCTCCTCCTCAGAAAGACTTGGCTTTCCACTGTTTTAAATAGTCACAGCCTCAGAAACCCACAGGGGGCCACGACGACTCATCATTGACCTGATGGCAGGGAGGTATTTTTGTTGTTGTTTGTAGGGAGAAAAAAGACTACAGCTTCAGTATGGATTACAAAACTGAAAAAACCAAACAAGACCTCTGCAGAGCATTGAAAAGAAAGGGTGTTACTTTGAGGACTAAGGTGTGCCTGACCCGAGCCATGGTACTTCCAGTTGCCTAACACGCATGTGCAACGTGGACACTGAATAAGGAAGACTGAGGAGGAATGGATGCACTTGAAGAGCGGTGTCGGTGAGTATACTGAAAGTGCCATGGACTGACAAAAGGGCAAACAGATCCGACTTGGAAAACGTATGGCCAGAGTGCTCCTCAGTGGCACGGATGGCAAGACGTTGTCTCAGAGACTCCGTATACGTTGTGACAGATGCATGCTGTCACAGACTCATGCTTGTGACAGGAGAGGGAGTGAAAAAGAGGAGAATCCTCAATGAGAGGGAGTCACGCAGTGGTGGCAACAATGGGTCTAAACGTAATGGTTGTGAGGAAGGCCCAGGACTGGGCAGCATTTCATGTGGACTTGAGAGGACCTAACCACAAGGAGAGCAAGTGAAGTTAGAATTGTGAATCCAGTTCTTGTAACGCCAGAGCCAGTGATCAATTGGCCCTGTATCTATTTGTAAAGAAATCAAGATGATTACCCGTATCGTGGCTTTTTCTCTTTTCACTTGCAATCTTAAACTATAATTATAAATTTACATAGCCTGTGGTGGTCAGATTAAAAAGTAAAAACCACAAAAACAGGGGAAAACCTGTACTGATTTTCGTAAATATTGAGAAGAATGTTTTCTGGTAACTCTTACCCACAGGGAATTCCTTTGTCTGAACATACCAGCTGATTAGACCAGAAATTCAATTCTTTAGTTTATTTTCTGTTTTTTCATATAGCTTTCTATCCTTTATCTCTCCTCCCTGCTTTGAAGGAACACCCCAGTACTTCATTAATTTTTTTAAAAGGAAAACTAGACAATGCATATTTGTTGAACACAAAATGATATATTCCTTATATATATACAGCATCCTCACTGCCATGAATATAAACAGCACCATGACTATTGTAGTAACTGTCTTGCATCTTTAGGACATTGGGCCTCCATTCAAGTACTCCCTCAAAGCAAGAATACTTTCTTCTATTAAATCGGCATTCTATTATGCTCATCTTCCAAACACAACTGCTGAAGACAAAGCGAGTGAATAAGCAAATGTGGTGAAGAAAGCTGATGTTGCCCAGCTATCAAAAGATACCGCGTCTGGGGTCTTAAAAGCTTGAAGGTAAACAAGCAGCCATCTAGCTCAGAAGCAACAAAGCCCACATGGAAGAAGCACACCAGCCTGTGTGATCACAAGGTGCTGAAGGGATCAGTTATCAGGTATCAAAGAACAAAAAATCATATCATTGTGTGCTCACCTCCATGAAACGATCGCTGAAGACAAATGG